GTTGACGAGAATTAATTTATTCAGGACTCAATGGCTGAGAAATGGAGTTTCCCCTAAAATAATTATTTGTCTGAAAGAAGCCTACAGGATTTTATTAAAGGTAAATAATGTTTTGATAATTAAATGGTGTTTCCCAGTGGTGTCCTCAAGGCATCAAAATCAAATAAAACGCCTAATTAGCTTTGATAAGCGATATTTTGCTTTCCGCGTTTATCTTAGCCTTTTGGTGTTATTTTATGCATTTTTTACACTCAAAACCAATGAGATTAAGGCAGGTACAGTACACATCCAAATTTAATAAGTGAGGGAATGTTCTAATAGTCTTTTATGACAAAACTAATGTTCCTCCATAATTTTTCCCATGATTAATATTTTTTAATCCGGCTTATTACTTTTAGAGGCGCTATCGCTTGCTGAATCTCGGGGTATGAAATTGCGAACGTTATATATAGGCAGCTACTAATGTATTTATGGAAATTTCAACGTTAATTTTAGGCTTACACTGCCTTCTAATGGGTTCTCGGTTACAGCACGTTTGCCTTTCGAACGCCTAATGTTTGGACCTTCATGATTTATCATAAAAACGTTGAAAAAAATTCGGTTGTGCTAACCAGCTGGTCTGTTACTCGCTTTTTTGCTTAAAAAAACTATTACCGCCTAATTGCGAAATATCAACCCCAAAAATTGCTTTCAACAATTCGTAATAAGTTATCCGTTGAGGCATTTGACTAATTGCCAAAATCCCGCGAATTAATTTGCGGGATCAGAATAAACAATATTTTTATTTTAAATGTACTTCCAGTCAGCACAATGAAACTTGCAATGCATTCCGAGCTGGATCGTCCACAAAAACTTTAGATTTATTGATGATGGATGAGGGTTTTCTATTTAATAGTGTCTTGCTGACACTTAACTAATGAGTACTGGCAAACAGCTTAGTAAATGTAATAAAGCCATTTGATGAGTTTAACAAACTTCGCAACGTATCGAATTTGAACGAAGTAATACCACTTCGAAGAGCTCTTTCAACTTAGCTAAGTAAGTTCCAGGTCCACTATAGGGTGTATATTGTTTGTCGTTTCTAGAGAACGGTTGCAATTAAAAATAAACATGTCAATCGGGTGATTTTTCGAACGAATATAAGCCATTTCAACAGGTGGTGTATTGAACGTGTTGAAACAAACTGACATTGGAATTTAGGAATCCCATTAGGTCTCGACGACTGTCGCGAAGGCAATTCAATAACATCTTTATTGTATTGTGTCTTTGAATCTTTCACACTGCGAAAAGCTCTATTCTTAACACCTTGCCAAGGATTTACCACAAAGATAATTCAACGGAGAAAAATATTGCGATAAAAGCATCTAGATACGGTCAACAAGCCATGAAGGGGAGAAGAAAAATGAAACTAAAAACCTGTCTATGTCTAAGTAGCAACTAATGTGAAAACAGGATGAAATGAAAATGTAATTTGTACATCATGTGCCTACACATACCGGATGTCAATTTGAAAACTTCCCACCCTTAATATCTGTCTTGCAGTTAAAAATATGAAAAATCGGAGACCCGTCAATTTTATTTGTAAAGGGGACACTTTAAATGAACATGTTTAGCCTCTTTGTTTCAACCATTTATGAGGGGTAGATGTCACCCTGAGAATCTTAATTGGGAAGCGGGGTCAAGTGGCACATCGTTGTAAAGGAGGTTCAATTCTCTTTACATTAGTAACTACTTTGTTGCTTTTTGTCCAGCGATTTCCGAATAATTGCGTTTCAAAGTTGTAGAAGCAATAAAACTTATATTTTTGGGTCAAAGGCAAAAATCAAACATTACTATATGCTGCTAACAGAAACAACAGATAAACACTTAAAGAAACATTACATTAATTTATTAGTATTCTATGCAGTTTTTTGTGTCCCCTGTAAAAAAATATTAAATGGGCTTTCGACCTATCAGCATTAGAGCATCGATATATTATTCTATTCTCTATGTATAATTTCTGTATAATGTAAAAATTATATCGTTATTTAGAAATCACCGGGATTAAAATACTTTCCCTCACTCCTGCAACGTATTAATTTTCTTACGCATTCAAAGGATGTACCAAAACAATATTGAGAATTATTCAGCTAAAATGTATGAAAATAAATCAATCACAACTTTTTATGCGACTGTGGCAAGTGGCACTTATTTGGAAATAAACATGTAATTTTGTCTTAAAAGCTCATAACAGAGCAGATCTAAATAAAAACAAAAAGCAATGATACATTTTATGGGATAAACAAAAAAACGCCTAACGAACAGCCAACGCAGCATTTAATTCGTTGAACAGTAAAAACTAAAGTTCTTTGGACTTTTTGCTTCAAAAAATTCCAAACTTAACAAAAATTTAACTGAAAATCACCAAATAGTCAAATTTATATTGCAAAAAATATATGTAGAAATAAAATAGTTATTTCTGTATTTTTTATTATCTGTCTAGATTTGATTTACTTTGAACAAACTATATTTTGAAAAACCAGAGTTTTCCTAATATGGACTCGCATCAGATCGAATTTTAAATCAGCATTAACGCAAATTAGCTTGGCAAGAATGTACCTGATGAAGTTTTTTTTGTTCAAGCGTAACGATGTGAATTGAGGTAATTTTTATTCTCATCCGTTTGAAAGAAATAAAGCTGAATAATATGTATATGGTGATTCACCCTCTGATTCAGACGATCATGGGTAATTTTCAAAAATGTATTATAAACTAATTGAGCGGATTTGAGGCTTTTATATAGAAAACCTATTCCTACAACGTGCAAGGAGTGACGATCCACCCTTTTCGTCAAGTCAGAAATAAAGAATTTAAAATTCATCGAAAGGAAAACTGTGTAATTTAAGTAACAAAGTCAAACGACTTTAGAGTTTGCTTTCTTAAAAAGTTTTGTATTGATTCTCTTTGAGTTCAGAACAATTTTCATTAACGGTTTTTTGCGTACTTTCACGTCAAATTTTTATCGGCAGGGGCGAGATAATTCTTACGGATTAGAACTTCCAAGATTTTTAAATCATTGGTAATCATCACACTTGACGGCAATTCATTTAAGCGTTTTTCATTAAAACCTAAAATGTTGATGTTTTGCTAAATAAAATGGCTATTTTCGGTTACTTTTTTAATGAACTGAAATAAAGCTAAAGGGGTTTCCTTAACAAATCTGAATGGGAAAAATAATATTGCGTTTATTGAAGAAGGAACAGCTTGTAAACTGAATAAATTTGATGATCAATTGTTAATGTTTCGACATTTAAAAATGAAACAGTTTCGAGAATTGGCAACGTGTGACCGGTGTAGTTCAGACGGAAACATCGGTAACGCTCGGAATGTTGCTGAAGTTCCCGTTTTTAAGTGTAATAAAATTATTCCTAATTACACGAAGTTATCCAACGGACTGAAACTTTTACGTTTATCTTCAAAATCTTATCGCGCTTTTTCATAATGTAGATGGGCTTAACTACTCCACAACTGTTCCATGAAATTGAGTGGCTGACTTTCAAAAAGTTCTATGTGACTTCAATTATGGCTTTAGTTAGTTGATTATGAAATTTGGAATGTAAATTATGTGGTATTTGAGTCGGTATTGCATGTATAGTTTTGAAGTTGAATGTGTAAAAGCGACTACACTTGCCATCACTAATTAAGAAGAGGAGAGAAAATTGTCCGTCTTATAACAGCTGCGATTGCAATCATGTACCAGATAGAGCTAATCCCATTTAACTATCCGAGACAATATTAAATGAAGACATTAATTTCGAATACCATGGCATAAGGTGTTTCACTTCAGTTCAGTTCTAAGACAAATAAGGGTCAGCTCTGTGAAATATAACGGGATATAAACAATATCTTCAAAACCAACATTCGTATCAATTCCAAATGCTCCTTTTAGACAAGTCAACTCTGAAGTCCAAATTAATTAGTCGAATGTCTGTGATGAATCTGCCTCTCTAATTTATTAAACTTGAATCGAAAATAGGCCTTCCCTCATCAAACAAACAATGGCTTTACTTGTTGTATCCCCAGAGGCAAGGGTGGTTAAATAATGGCCTGGCGTTCCGTCTTAATAGCAGGATATAGTTTTTTTCGAGAAAAAATGTTGTGGTACTTAAATTATTTGACCTGGGTACTATGCAATGCAACCCGGCAACATTGAAAGAAGAAACAGTTGGCGTTTTGCGTGTAGACCGGTTCAAGAAGAAAACTGACACGAGAGACAAAGTCGCATATCGGACCGAGTACCGACCATGAAAGTACGGCCAAAATGAAATCGACAACCATCGAAGAACAGAGAACAGGTACTGCTAATCAGGGCATTCGGTATACCTGTTTGGAAAACTAATGCATTGAAAACAAATAGGTGGTTAAGAGTTTTTTTGAGTCTGTGGAATAACTACGCATACCAAAAGGCATTCTTTTTGAATATTTACTACGGGTTCTGTCTGTCTCTGATTTGTTAAAATAATGTTTTTTATGCTTTAATCGTTTTAATTAAGTAGGTCGTTTGTATTTTATTTCGAGCTTTACCGAGCCTCATAATTATTAGAAAAAAGCTTATACTTTTAATGCACAACCTTTTAAGGCTTAGCGATGGACGGGCTGAGTACTATTTAACTTCCAAGGATTAACAAAATATATTTCAGGATTTTATCACAGATTATTCCTTGATGTTTATGGTTTTCAGGTACTGGAAATGGAACACGGTTCAAATAACACACCGGCGTCTTTCCTTACCTTTCTGTTATATTAACTGAAATATGTGGGCTGGCAAATTATAATTTCTTAAAAACATATTATATACTACTAGACGGTCGGTTAACATAATCGATGTTCAGCCTTCAAGACTTAAGGAATCTATTACAGAACAAGTGAAACAATCTTATACAATGATCGTAGAGCATGCGGCATACTTAATAGATATTACCAAGGTAATAACATTTATTTAACAATGATTTTTGTTACAGAACAATACCGGTATGAAACAGCATACGCGTGTGAAGGGAAAACATTGAAAATTGAATGCAAGGATGGTGAACTGATTAAGCTGATTAGAGCCAATTATGGGAGATTTTCGATAACAATTTGCAACGACCACGGCAACACGGATTGGAGCGTAAACTGCATGTCTCCAAAGTCATTGAGGGTACTTCATGCCAGGCAAGTTTTCATTTTTTCTATTGCTTGGATATTTCCTGTGATCACATTTCATGGCGCACGTTTATCGAATTCACTACTTGTTCACATATATCGACACTAGCCTTACGTTATTAGAAATCTTGAGTTAAACGATCACAATCATGCCGAGAAAATGCTGCGGCATCGAAATCATATTAAGTAATTTCGCGTATCCTATTAGGTGAAAGTAATTTACACAAAGTTATAATTGTACAGTATGTTGCAAGGCAATTGTGTGATATTTGATATTTCGGTTCGAAATGGATTCGAGAGTTGAAAGTCAAAAACAACGCGAAGCTAAATTTCAACAGAACTCGCTCCTTCTTCATATTTTTTGAAAGAAGCATTCTTAACTGGACAACACTATATACTCAAGGAACCCACAAAAAAGAACCTCCATTGAAAAAGGACGTTTTTGTTTTTAATCAAACCGTTTGTAATTAAAATGTCAATTTTATGAAAATTTCTTTCAAAAAGGAACTGAACTCTATATTGAACGTCCAACACTACTACCGATAAACGCATAAAACTTACTTAAATCTCAGAAATCCACTCCAGCGGTGCAGCTAAAAGCCGGAGGTTGCAAATGAGGGATTGAACAGTTCTATCTTCTGACATATTATGAATATTTAAATGCAATTAGAATAATTCGGTGTCGCTTCAGTAGCCGAATGGAAATATGGAACTTTTATTAAAAAAAAAAACAGATTCTTGGAGAGCGTCAATTAAAAAAAAGTTGTGAATGGATTATACAAATTTTTAAATCATGTCTTTCGGCGCGATAGAGTAAAAAGTTGCACTACCTGAAACTCATAGTATCTTTACTAATTACAATGAAATACTGAATCGAAGTCGTAAAAATGTTTATGGCCTACTAAGAACCGAGTGATATGATGAGTTTTCTTTCCGCTGATATTGAAAAACCTCTAATTGCTATTATTATTTTATGTAATTTACTTTAGTTTCGATTATCAAGGTACACAAATGCAATTAATGAGCATTAACATGAAGCGAAGAAACATCTACTCTAAAGCTGTCTATTATCGCCATTAATAAAGGCGCAATATTGAAGAAATGTACTAAGAATTAAATTGATTCTGTTAAATTTACTTTACTTATGTTCTAAGCCAGAGTTAAATATTTATACTAATAAATATATTCAATGAATTATTTCTTATTTATAGCAATTAATAAGTGTATATTTTGACTAATCGAAATCTCATACGTTCCTGATGATTTTGGCAATATTATTGTACCAGATTTAATGATTAACGAGTTTGTAGAAATATTTACAGTGTACAAACACTTTTTTAATGCTTTGTTTTTTAAGATACATGGTGGTGAGATTGATCTTTTGCTTCCTTCAATAGGTTACATATTGTTCCTTGAAAAAAATGTTTTTGCCAATTCTGCATTCAGCTGAGTAAAATTATTTATTTTTTTATTATTAATACCAGTGAATTTACTTCAGAGTTTTTGTAAAACAAACTCAAACACGCGTTGGGTAAATTTCACGCATATTCAGCCACTTTTAGATGCAGTCCCTATATACAATTTTTATAGGCACAAAAAAATGCGATTGACTTCCCATTTATTTGCAAACTTTTATGTTTTATGGTAAGCCGACACTTACCATGAAATTTCATGTAGTAGCGCCATATCCAAAACACCTCAAACATAACGATAATGGAAAAAACAGTCATTAAGGCACTTTTATGTATTTTAAAGCCGCGCCCGCAAATACTGTAATGTAACTTGAGTAAATAGCCATAACGGCCGAAAGTGAGAACAATGTCCAGCCATATTTTGCAGAAACATGTAAACTAGAAACTCGACACCATACGATGTCGCGCGATGCACAGTTTATCGGTATTTGATTCCGGTTTTATTCATTTTTTCCTTGTTTGTTTACAATAAAATTTACTGGTATATCGCGATGGAATGCAAAATTTTATTGTTTATTTATTTCGATATATTTACCGAAATTCGACTGTCTGTATGGGACATTGAAAAATTTGCTTTTCACATATTGAAGAATGATGAATGTGTCCACACTGAACCATTTTGAATACCTTTCAAACAGCAAGGGGACTATTTCTAGGGTGGCCAGATGTCTCAATTTAAGCTCTACTGTTCCTATCCCGAGAGGATTTAATTTGGTTCCCCGAACACAGAACACAGAATCCGGATTTCTAAAAAATAATAATAATAATAATAAAGGATACATCATTGTTCTCAATTTCTTCCCTAAGCAATGTCTATTTGCTTTTAAATTGTTTGATTGCGGCTAACCGGTTAGAAATATGCAAAACTACTCTTAAGTATACAGGGTATTTGATAAAAGCACTACGAGCATTAACTGCTATTTTTAAACATCACACCCAATGTGTCTGTTTGTTTCTGAATCCGATATTAAACTCAAAGTTTCATTAGCTGTGCAAGTGCATTTTCTACAAAGTATCAAAATTGAAATATTCTAATTTGCAGAAAACGCATCTCTGCTGCTAACAGAACTTTGAAATTAAGAATAGGAAAGTCTATTTCTTGCTCTAAAAGATAAAAAAGACGCTCTTATCTGTTACGGTTTCTGAGAAATTAATTTTCAAAATACCTATTGCAAGCGATCATTTTCGAAAAAGGAAAGAAAGAGCGTTTCTATGGAAGCCTTTTACAAAAAGTTGAAGCGGTAGGAGTTTTATATGTGTTTAAAACGAACAATTGTTCATCTACACAATTAAAACAGAAATCCCTGTTTTAAACATGAAAAGGAAATGTGACTGATAATCAATATATTTATAGACAAAGTTTGGCTTAAAACGATGTAGAAATATATTGTCATTTTCAATGTTCGTTGCAAATAGAGTAAAATTCATTTTGCAAAATAAAACTAATTTAAAAATCAATGTATGTATGTACATTGGCATACGCTAACAACGAATAAACTAATAACATATTTTGTTCTCCGGCCACGTTTTAATTGAAGCATCGTAAGCATTTATTTATTTATTTACGTATGTATGTGTGCGTTTCTACCTTTCATTTAATTAATATATTAATTCGCTATCAATTGTTGGCTATTGGAGGAAGCAATTTGGGCTGTATCATTCATTTTGCTATTTATTTTAGATAACATTTAATTAAGCAAGTTTTTAATTAAAGTCGCGTTTATTTAAAAATGCTTTGAGGTATAATTCAGCATTCGACTAAAAAAATCACAAACTAACTATCGTAATAAACTGACACTCTTTCAATGATTCTACTAACAAGTAAAGCTTCTCGAGGGCCTACACAAACCCTAAAGAACTCACCAATTTTGCCAATAAACATTTGTCTGCACTTTCAAGTTTCAAGCTATAGATTTGTTTCAGCTATTCCTTGGTGAATCCGGGCAATAACGCCATCCTGTCCGGCAGGCACAGTAAAATAAACTTTTTTCTTTTATATACACATATCCACAATCAAACTGCTACTTCTATTTACTCAGGAGGTTAAGGTTTTAGTGAATGTTTTCGTTTTTCATTATTTTATTATACTTAAAGTCAAATAAAATGTTAGGAACGCTTTCACAAAAGTTTTGGTAAGTATGTTTATATCCATACATTTGTAAGATTTATGTTTATGATTTATTAGGTCTAGTACGGTAATATGTGACTATTCAACGGTAGTGAATTCGATCATGAGTGTTCATTTAACATTATATCACACCTTAACCACACATCTGAATGTTTATTAAAAACAATTAAAATATATAAACTTGTCAAACAAAATGGGTTTAACCGTTGCGTACAACTGGAACGCTATATTTCGTTTATCTTGATACAACAACTAAATATTGTACATTGACTACAAAATTCTACATGAGCTTTCCACCCAAACCAACAGGTTTTTATTGCTAAGTGATATTCTGCAGGCAAAGCTGCAATGAAGTTGTTTTACAACAAACAAAATGAAAATAATTTTTAAACTGAAATTTCCCTTTTCTATATCCAAAACATTGCTAAATTTCACTTAGAAATTTCTCAAATGAGCCTAACAAATAACTTTTTATAACATAAACGTTTCTGGGATGACTGGAAAGCTCACCCAACTCAGATGTAATATCTCCGGTTGGATCCACTAAAATATTTAAGGTTTATATCTAGAGAACATGATATTTCCTCTACTGCGTGCTTTAAAGAAGTCGGTTTTATCGCAGGTAGTTTTTTAAAAGTTGTAAAACCGTTATATTCCTACTCAAGAAACGATATTTTGATATTTGTAAAGCGTTGAATACTTATGAATGAAAAAGAAATGCGAAATTTGAAAATTTTGTAAAATTTTTCTCAAAAAGCTGTTTCGTATCAACATAAATAAAATGTATTGTATATTCACACGGATTTACTGGCATTTATTTCTGGGAATTATCTGTGTGTTTTTGCCATAAAGTCGTTTCCTAAAGGCTACCAGAAGATCTCTTTGGGTATATCAGGAAAAGGGTTGGAATAAAAAAAAGAAACCTCGACTAAATTTTAATAGCTTTAGATTTACTAAAGGTGCCTCATTGCACAGAAATTGGCAAAAATCTATGAAACGTCTTAATCATAATACAGCTAGAATCTGCATACAATAAACTTACAACTAAAAAACCATAATTTGTCAAGCACGCACTCAAGGAAAATCATTAAAGCGATTAAATAAAAACGTTTTTGGGGTTTCACATGGTTAATTGAACTTCAAGGTTCAAAATCAAAGAAACTATTTTCAGAGTATTTCAATTCAAAATAAAAATTGTTGGCTCGATCTACAGACAAATGGAAACTTTAATATTATCTACGACCAATCGTTACGTTCGTACGATACGATTGGTTAGAACTTTTTTATCAATTGCAACCGATATCACATGTAGCTACGAAGTTATCCATTATTTACTTACATGCAGGTCGCACCTACGGTGCATGCAAGTTATTCCATATATATATATATATATGTAGACGTTGATTTAATCTAAAGTTCATTTCTGGGACTTTTAGTACGCGCATTTCTAATCGCTTTTGAATTACTTCACTGTTAAACGAAGCCGAATGAAGGACAGTCATATACTCAGCAATAATTATCTGAGCCCTTTATAATTAAGTATACTAATTCTCGGGTACTGGAAGATAAATCATAAAATATTTTTTGTTTGACAAGTTTATGTAATTGAAAAGATTAAGTACCATCTAAGGCGTAAATGTTGGTAGAGGGCTATTAAAAAGGCGTTAGCTTGGGTATCAAGTCAATGTTTAAAGGTGGCTTAATACAACTTCGTGCCTCTAACCTTTTAAATTCTACCTGTTTTTGTACGGAGGTAATTTTTATTTCACTTGCAATTAATTCGTCAAGGTTACAAGTATTCCACAATTACCTACAAAAATTACTTTTAAAATATTTATTATTAAATGTAACGATTTGAGTACTGCGCGGGTATTTAATCATCAAAATCCCGGAAATCCAATAACACTTTAACCAATGCATATTTTGTAGTGTTTTAAAACCGTAAAAAATCACTTACGGAGATGGCATGTTGTAATTTAATGCTTTTTGTTACTGTCAGTATTGTATGTTATATTGTTGTTGAAAATTTCGACTGCATATTGGGGTTACTCGTCGCTTAATTCTGAATAAAAACAGTGTGCCTCCCTTTGTTTTTCACTCATTAATAACGCCGCCTGTCCTGTCCAGTTTTCAAGTGTTTACCTTCACTCTCAGTTTTTTTGTTAACAGCATGACGTTTCAAAAGTCCTACTTGTTTGGCCAATTAAAAAAATAATGATCGAAATTAAGTCATTTGCCCGACAATAACAAATTGACGCATTGTTGTGATCTTTGTCACATGTGTTAAAATCAAAAATCTATTGATTTAGGTAAAATCACTTTACAAAGTAGCTTGTTTCTTATTCATTTTCTTTAATCATTTCAACTGAGCTTGAACAAACATCAATCACCTTGCTTTTTAATCATCTCTCAGAGTGATAATCCAGCTTTCGGTAATTAAAAACAGAAAATGCCGGAGTTAGTACAGTCTTTGCACTTCATTAGTTGATTAAAAACATTCATTAAAAAGTAAATGACTCCAATGTCTAGTTCTTGCAAGAAGAAGCTTGCTCTTCCAAATACAATAGTTTCCGCTTTGGATACAAAAGTACGGAAAACGAATCATCGGCATATTTGTCTCTATTGCCTTTGAAAAGGAAAATATACTGAAAAAGAGATGCCGAATACAAACTCGGCATTTTAACCAAAGCTTTTCCATGATTTTCCGACAGGGCTTTCTGTGTTTTTGGTTTGTGTGTGCTTTAAACCGAGTAATGCGGGCAAAATAAAATAAAGGGCGGGTTTTGTCTTTTTAGATGTTCTTTCAAATCTCAGTGTTCAATTGAAGTGAGCAACGACGTTTTTGGAGACCCTTGCGTTGGAACACACAAATATATTGAGGCGCAATACGTTTGCGAAAATGGTAAAAACATCATCATTTAATGCCAATAAAACAGATGCTCTTGGATCTAATAAAATACCGGTCAATTGAAAACTTTGCAAGCAAAACGAATATTTTTCTCATAAAATTTGCAATAAACCAGGGATTAATGGAGTCTTGGTTAATATCGAATTATGTTTTCTTTTATTTCTGAAATAACCATTGTTTTATGTTTGATACTCAAACGTCTTAATATTCCTATAAAATCCCTCAAATTCAATAATCGACGAAGTTAATTAAAGTTGCTTACGGCCATTCCTAAGTTGAGGGCTTGTTTATTTGAGTTGGGATATTACAATAACCCTCCAGGGACAAATAGGGGCTGCGGTTTTATTGGCAAATTTCAACGTATTTCCCACAAACTTTATAACGGAATTATGCTCTTGAAAAAATTATTCTTCCTTGCATTTGACTACGGTATAGTGTTATCATTTGAGTTTATATCACGTTTAGGAGCCAGTGACTAACCTTTTTTAAGTTAACGCATTTGCATTGAATAGAAATTTATGTAAATTAGATTAATCTTTATTTAAAGTAAATTCTTATAAAAATGTGTAGATAATATGCAATTGAACAACATCAAGAATGCGTTACTTGTTTCATTTGTCTGTGTTTATTATTGATATTATGTTGTTCTTTATGAAATTCAACATTTTATTGAATACTAAATACGTTCGAAATTGAACGCTATCGCGTATAGCGATGGCTAAAAAACATAAGACTAAACAATCCAATTAATATTTTTATTAGTTTTCGAGTAAATGAGTATTTGCTTCACAAGTATCCGAGATACTTCGTATTTGAATTCACTAACTAATTTTAAGCAAAACTTACTCTTTTCATTTGTTTTGAAATATTGGGATAGGAGAAATTGCTAAGGAGTGAATTACATTTTTGGCACCAAAAGGCTTCCTAATTTAATAGAAAGATACTCCGAACACTTGGGCGGAATTAATTAATAATGAAGTTTTTACTACTTTTTTTCATTTCTATATTTATTCAACGGTGAGATTCTAACCGTGAGATGTACCAAGCATTACCTCTCTTCCTATTCAGGAAAAGCGGAAAGATTCATTTTTGCTTAAAACTAACCATACAATGCATATGTACCAATATGAAGTTTCCCGAATGTTTTTCTTGATTTGTTCATCCATTGCATAACTATTTTGATGCTTTTTATCCATATGATGTTTGGTTGACTAACTGACAAGATGCTGGCTATAAATTCAATTTGTTTTCTAAAATTGTAATCATGAAAGTAACTTAAACCCAAGAAACTGCAGGCTGTTAAAGTGGGACAAACCAAATGATACACTGATTATCGTGATAAGGCATTCTATTTGCAGGGTGAATAGCGGAATAAAGGTTTGAAGTTTTTAGGCTATTCTTATCTGCTGATTGGTTAGCAAAAAAAAACGTGGGTATTGAACCAGCTGCAGATAAATTGGATTTTGGATAAACTGCAAATAAACCGTCCTGCCTCTAAAATGGATATAGATAGTTCTGTTTGCAGCGGACCGTTTGTACTACTAACCCACATTTTATCACATAGTAAATAGAATCCTTGTTACTCGGGGCACAATAGTTGTGCTACGGTGAACAAAAATATGGGTTTTCGCAAAGCAAACGCGATTTAACTGATCCAAGAAAAACTCTTTTATCGGCAATTTAACTTAACGGCATCACAAATAATTCACGTGGAAAATATAACATACAATATTGTCAGGAACGAGGAAGTATCGTTTTGTACCTAATTGCACTTTATTGATAAAATAAATTTTCTGGCTCGCATCCAAAGGGATCGCTACATTTTAAACCGCTTATGTGGAATATCGCGTCCATTCAAATGGAGCCCTTGTTGTAAAGCTCTATTTTTTCCGTCCTAAATGATGTAGGAATTGCCCAATATTTTATCAAATTGACCAGTCTAATGTTTTAATGTTTATTATTTATTGCAGGATGAGAAAGGTTGCATGGATTTTCCTTTAGCTTATAACAGATGAACCGCCACATCCGTATTAATGTAAACCCTGTTTTCTTTTGAATTCGGATGGATCACTGTATAACTAAAAACAAGCAATATTAAGATGAATTATGCAAAAGGGGACTATACGTCGTGAAAGTAACATTTTCGTAGTTTTCTTGTTAATGCTCAAACGCAAGTTTTGGTTCAGACAAGGAAATATTAGATAAGATGGTTGCTTTTAGAATGTGCTGACACAAGAAAATTTATTGTGCAACTCAGCACTAGCTGAATTATGAAATATTGTGGATATTTTAGTGGGTGCAAAACGGGCAAATCTCGATGTTTTTCTTTTTAACTGTACCAATGTGCTTCACATAAGATACCCACCGGCCAGCATAAAGGGGCATAATGACCATAATGTAATTACTTGCCGCAACTTGCCTCTATACCGAGATAAGCTCATGGAAAGTTACATATATGCCCTCCAACCGGAATTGCAAATTTGCAAAAATAGTAATTAACCACAGATAGTAACTGAAGTAAATTTGTGAAACGATTTCGGTTACATTAGTGCCCTCAAACCGGAATAGCAAATTTACATAAATAGTAATTAACTTACTTGTATACTTCATAATTTCAATTTGTGTGAAGTCTTTAAGAGCGACAAGTGTTCCGATGGCAAATACTTAATATTATACAGTTTTTGTTCATTACTGGATTTTAATTATGGGTTTTCCAATTGTTAATTTTGTAGTCTTTAATTGGCTTTTCGTGATTAATTTCTATAGCTCTGCTTTAATCCACGTTTAAAGCTCAAATTTCACATCTAAGAACTAAGTGCAATTTAGCGAAATGTGTTATTTTAATGATCAGAACTAATACGTACAGGGTGGTTCAATGTGAAGCCTAAGAGAATCGGTTAAAGTATGACAAATTTACGAGGTTTTTACTTGAAAATGCTATTTTACTCAGTAGCAAAAACAGGTAACAAAATATCGTTGAAATTCGTTCCATCTTCTTTTTGTACCCTTAATGCAGATATTCCGCAATGGTTAGGCTAAAAGCTTTTTAAATTTGAAACGTTTCGTATTTTCATGCATAAGAAAGCGTCCCAAAAATTCCTAGATTTTCACCACTAATAAAAACATTGAAATTTGTCCACCCTTCAGACCGACTACGCTCACTTGAGTTAAGCTGGGAATTTTTCTGAAGAATTACGTAAAAGTACTTGTAATTTATGAAGGAAAACCCGGTCTAAGTTTTCCGAAGAACCATTAGTGATTCGCAGCATTTAAAAAGGGGTTAAATATAGTTGATGAGCGTTGCACAGAACGCGATCTCAACAGTCACGTCGGAAAACGTCGCTGTCACGAACAAGACGGCAAAAACTGATTTAGACAAGACGGGAAAAGAAAATCCGGAAAACCGGCCAGAGAGCAAGAAATGTCGCTTTTTGTTATTCAACATAGTGTCCGAATCGACGTTTAGTTTCTTGTGGAAAAATTAATGACCTCAAAAAGATATTGCGTGTATCGAGAGTGTGGAAAATAGCAGCTCTGATTCAGCAGCTGCCGTCAATTTCATTGGTTCTTTCAAAACAAACCTGCACGTAACTTATAAATAACCCGTAAACGATTGGACATATGATAACTAACTTTGTATAAGTACCTACGTTAATTACGAGTCGTCTTGCTAAATAAAATGCATTTCATTCTTACTTGGAACAAGGCTGACTTGGACACATACAAAGGGCAGACAGTGTAGATAAAGTGCTAATTACTCATTATTTCTTAAATGTTTTTATTTCATATCTAGTTGATCATGTTACTTCACTTACATTTCACTTAACAAAAGCTCGAGATTCTTCATCGCATTAAACACAAAACGCTTGAATGCAAACAGAAACATCGTTAATCAGTTGGCCCAAACTATGAATATTTTAAAAAACTATTGAATTGCAAGTAAATTTTTTATTAGTTGTTTTGCTTTTGTTAACATTCACTTAATATGATTAGTCAGAGGTTATTATTCCTTTTCTTGGTAGTTTGAAATAGAAACATCGACGAAAAAGTTGTGTATTTTTTGCCGAAATTAATACAATGAAATCCAATTATTAGGATCGCACTGCAAAGCACCTTAATTTCTATTTCGCCCAGAATAACAAGCTGGTTCCGCATATAAATTTATAAAGCAATAAAAACGAAACCAATATAAAAAGTTTGTTTTCATTGGCAAAAAAATGTAATCCTCGAGAAACCATGGAATTTTAAACTCTCGTTTAAAGATCTACTTATACACCGCTTGTTTACGACATCGAACAAAGCGTTCTTACTAAGTATATTTGGGTATATCGATTGTCTCCATAGCAAAATTTCAAACAACAATTTCGCATTGTCTGCTGCTTGGCCCTACTCCAGTATTCTCTTGACCATTCGTCTACCCAGAGCCCATTAGAATTAATTATGTCACGAACGATCATCCCAAAATTTGGCTGACCCGTTTAAACTCCTTTTAGCCCCACTAATATATTAACTTCTTTGTTTAACTTGTCCCATAAAAGTCTACGTATTTTTAACATATGCTGAAAGTTTATATACAGCGTGATTTACAATGATGGCGAAAAATGTCACGCAATCTACTTAGAAATAACTATGGAAAATAATACTAATTGGTTTCATGAGCCACGTCCCAAAAAGGCTTCGTTGAGCAATAGAGAGATTTGGAATATTGCAAAATGCAAATTTCTCCAAAACGCATTGTGCAAAAAGATATTTTGTCTGAAAAAACCCCTCGAGTTTCTCATGTACTCGAAATTCTCCCATTCTCGAGCTAAAAAATATTATGGCCCATTACAATGCGTAGGGGTATTTTAATTGGAAATAAATGGTCGGTTTGAAAGTGGTGAAACTATTATATCAGCTTTTTTAATGCAAAACACTTCTTCGCCCTCAGTATCTGCATTTTATTGATATACATGATGGTGACTTTCACTGGAATAAATTCGCTATCGGGGCCA